GAGCCTCACACGGCCCGGAGTAAGGACACCTTGCTTCATTGGGAAACCTTGCTTGTCACACCCTCCCATGATCTTGAACACGTAGCCCTTGAACTCCTGAAATACAAATATTCATATTAGAATGGACATTGCAAGGCAGCAGTTCTTTGCACTTAGTAGAAATTAAGTGGGGTGGCACCTCGCCCAATGCATCTCCACTGACTTCCTGAGATATCCTCTTGTCCCAGAAAACTCGGCTGTTGTTTACGGAAACAGAGACAACAAATGAGGACACAAGGGAACCATGTTGGCATGGTAAGAGCACAATTAACTACATGTATAAGTATCCTATGCGTAAATGGTTGCACAAATTCTAGCAATAAACAACAAAGCCTATTACTCCGAGCTCATATAAATCAGCAATTAGAAAATGCAGAAATAGTCTTTCTCGGCATCAGACACTTACAGCAAGTTCTGCTAGAAAATTCAATACAAAAACCATAATCTGAATTTAGAATGCATTTAGTTAACTATAAAAACAAAACAAAGAAATAATCAAATAAGACAACATGAACAACAACATGTTACACAAAGCAACATAAATCTGAATTTAGAATGCATTTAGAAACTATAAAAACAAAACAAAGAAATAATCAAGTAAGGAAACATGAACAACAACATGTTACACAAAGCAACATAAATGTACTAGGAATATCAAAGAACCAACAGGTACTCACAGGACAGCCATATTTCACGAGGTATATAATTGGGGAAAAAAGGTCATTTTTAGCTAAGATCTCTGGAGCGAAACCATAGTATTAACTGATAAATGAGCTCTACAATTTGCATATATTCAAATCACAGCAAATGTACATTAAACCAACCAATAATGACAAAAAAAGAATGGCAGATGCATATAATTAAAAAGGATAAAATAACATACAGCTTCATGTCATCGTCAATTTCCAGCTTCTTCTGGCAACCAGTGGTCGGATTCGCTATGTTGAACTATGAGACATTCAATAACCAAAATGGTTCAATAGATTTCCACTTAAAAATGACACACTATCAGGCATATAAAGGTAGATACACACATACACAGAGAGATTACCTTCATCTTCGATGAAACGCTGAAAAGGCAGCGAAGATGTGAGCACCTCCGAAACGTTTGTAAAATTAGGGTTTCAGATGAGTGTTAACTAAAAGATATATAATGGGCGCAGCGGCGGGCCAGGCCTAGGTAGTAGGAGAGGCTCAATTGCAAAGAATTTATTGGGCCGACACTGGATTCAGGACTAAGCAGATTACAGCCTTTTTCTGTTTTGGGCTTTATCTATGGTACAAGGCAAAATATGACTGCCGCAAATAAATACAAACATCCCCTCTATATATAATTTCAGAATGCACTGAGCCTACGTGCCACTCTCATGCTTCAGAATTCTATTTGACAAAAAATCATGCTTTGGAGTTAGGCTTGGATATAAATTAATATTTGTATTAATTGTTTTTTAATATCATTTCTTATTATAACCGTTGAATTGCAAATATATTTTAAAAGTTGATAACTTTTGCATTTCTTATCGGTTTTACATGTATAATATATGAAATTAATCATCTTTTGATGAGTTTCGATTTGACATCCATATTGTATATATAAAATAAATAAATTTTATTTATCTTTATAACAATAATAAAAAATTAATTAAAATTAATTAGAAAATAAAATTATTTATAAATTAATATATTTATGTTTAATGTAGTTATATGTTATAAGGTAGAATATTTATTATAATATAAGACTATAAGTTGCACAATTAATATGTGTCATACTAAAATATATAAAAATATATACTCCCTCCGATTTGACGCTGCTCGTGGTGTCGAACACATGCCGGGTGCGGCGAATGACGCGTGGGGCGCAATGGGCACGAATACGAGCGAAACCTCAGAGGACGAGGAATAGCGCGCCGTCACGGGTAGGGTTTTCGGAAGGCGTGCGGCACAAGAAAATCCGAGATCCATCAAGAAGGTTGAGGGCCGATTTCCTTAGCATATTAGGATGTATAGTTTGGTTAGGAATTTGAATAAAGGCATGTGCATAATTAGTTATTTGGTAAGTCTTTGATTCTAGATATTTAGTTACCTTTGGAGTTTATTTTATTTCCATGAGTTAGAATTCTAGTTCTTATAGGATTAGACTTAGTTAGCATTTACAAATACTTCTCATCATCATTCGAATTTCAAAATGAATTGAAGTAATAAGAAAATCATTTGCAAGAGCAAAACCGTGTGTTTAGACAAGGCCATAGTGCGTGTTTATCATACAACCGTGTTCGAAAGAAGGCCTTAGAGCGTCTTTCGTCACAATTTATCGTGTCTAAGCGAAGGTCGTTAGCGCGCATTTATTCACAAACCGGGTCAAGATACACTATTATTCATCACGCTGCTCCGCCGCCTCCAATTTGCATAAATAGGTTGAAAAAATTGGCAAGGCGGCTAGGCGGCGCCTAGGCAGGATTGGTGGACTCGTCGGCCAAGCGGCTTGGCAGCGCCTATGCTGGCTCAGCGGAAAATTTTCAATTTTTTTTTTTAATTTTTTTAAATACTAATTACATTATTTTGTTATCATATTTTCTTTATAATATACTAATATTATTATTTGGACTTAGGTGTGTTGATTTCTTCCAAGTTGAGATAGTTTTATTTTGTAGGTAGTGAAAATAAATAAAAATAAGGTATTTAATCTTAATTTCTAGGCCCCGCCTAGGCGCTAGGCATTGGTCTAGCACCTAGCGACTTCTAGAACACTGATTCTTTTTTTTTTTTTTCTTAATTTAATATACTAAGTACACTACATATATTGGAATTTAAAGTTGGTTGAGTTGATTATATATAAAACAAAATTTTGGAGGCGCGTTCAAAGAACTTCTGGAGGCTACGGGGTCCATTGGAGGCTAGCTACTGGAGGCGCGTTCGAAGAACTTCGCTTCGAAGAAAAGCTTGCACCGATCCGTTGATTTGAAGATAAACCAGCTTGGTGCTGCGAGCTTCCCTTTTGGATAACCTTAATTGAGGTCGGCGGTCAGTGATCCTGAACTGCCTTGATTTTTTTCGGGTTGGCCTAGATGCCACTTTGGCTTATGATGTATCCTAGGGATTTTCTGGACTCGACCCCGAAAGTACATTTATTCGAGTTTAACTTCATCGAATAATCCCACGAAATAGTGAACATTTTATTAAGATCCTTAATGTGATCAGACGAGTACACGGATTTTACTAACATGCTGTCTACGTACACCTTCATGCTGTCACCTAACAGGTTAGCGAACATTTTGTTGACAAGGCACTGGAAGGTGGTGCCGGCGTTCTTCAACCCGAACGACATCATCTTGTAACAGAAGAGGTCGCGTGCCGGGTAGAATGATGTGTGCTTCTCATCATCCGGGTGCATGGGGGTCAGATTATAGCCCGAGTACGCGTCCCTGAAGCTCATGAGCTCATGTCTTGAGGTGGCGTCGATTATATAATTGATATGAGGTAGCGGGATCGGGTAGGTCTTATTAAGATCAGAGAAGTCAATGCAAAGACGCCATACTCCGTTGTTCTTCTTAACTAGGACCGGGTTGGCTACCCAGGTTGGGTATTGGACTTCTCGAATGTAATCGTTGTCTTTTTGCTTCATAAACTCTGTCTGTTGTCGATCGAGGACTAGCTTCATTCTCATTTGGATGACGGGCTTGACCGTCAGATCGACCTGCAACCCGTAGCAGACGACCTTCGGGTCGATCCCGACCATGTCTTCGTGGGTCCATGCGAACACGTCCGCGTTTTCCTTAAGGATCTGGATGAGCTCGGCCCTGGTTGGCTCGGGTAACATGCTCTCGATTCGCAACTGCTTTTGGCAAGTGGACTCGTCCATGAAGATGATCTCTCCTTCGTCCATGGGTTCAGCCCGCTTGGTGCGCCGCTTCTCTTCGCACTGTGTTCTAGGGTCGAGTTCGTCCTCTTCCGACAATGGTTCTTTTTCGAGCCTTCGGCCCTGTCTCTTGTCATATCATCAATCTCCATGGCTCTCGGGCTATCGTCACCTTGTCCCGTGGAGCACTAAGCTGACGGATTCTCCTACATGGGGTTGAAAATTGGGGCCTTGCAGCACTGTTTCGTTTGTGGGTTGATCAGGTGACACTAGCTCGGGACCTACTTCGTCGACTTTCATCTCTTCGGTCTCAGCGTCTGCCATTTCTTCAGCTACAACCATTAACGTCAACCATGCGAATCTCAGTTCAGGGGACAACCAAGATACACTCACGGGCTTCTCGCTGGTCCCCGTAGTGCTTTACTTGCAAAGGTAATGGGATCACCTTGAGGTAGGAATTAAACATTAAAAGCAATTTAAAAGTCAGAAATCCACTAATTAATCATTATATACTTTTAAAACCAATTTAAAAACCAGATTTGGGCCCATTTATTGTTATGACATATGTATATATTTTAATTTTTTATTATTTAATATACAATAAAATACTTAAAATTTGATTTAAAAGTTTAAAATTTAAAATTAAAAATACAAAAATTGTATCTGTTCTCTCTATTTTGTAACTTAAATATAGATTAAAATTTTAAAAAGAAGTTATCAACATTATTCAAAATATCCGCTTTATCTATTATTGAACTCTTATTACGAGAAATGCCATTATACACTATAAAATTAATTCAGAACTGCACATTGACAGACTATTGTTGGCAAAGATGCCCAATGTTTTGGGTGCCTGAGCCTGACTATTGAAGTTATCATGTTTGTATTATTTTGAGTTGGTTAGCCAAACAGGGAATGCTTTAAACGATAATTTTCTACACTTATGGATTAGTTGTCAAGTCCTTATCAATTACTACTTTTTTTTTTTTTTCATTTTTAATAATTCTCATGCTTATCGGTCTTCTCTTCCAATACAATTTCATAACAAATTATCAATTCATTAAAGAGACAAGACAATTAGGCACTAGAACATGGAATGTTTGCACGAACTTGCAACCATTGTTACTTTTGTGCACACTATGTAAATAACATACACTGTGGTTTACAAAATTTGTAATTGGTTCAAATTTCGTTCTAAGAAACTGTTAAAAGCGTCCAACTGCTTAGTAGAACATTATGGTTTTAATAAATATTAATTAAACTTATTATTATATTATAAAACTTTTTATTTATGTTGAAGGCCTCATAAAATAGTGACAGATTATTATTCCAAACAAGTATACATTTTCACTAGATGATGTATAAGTCTGTGGACTCCATTTATATCATACATTGAGGGGTATTAGAAATACACACATCTTTTTCCATGATAGCTAAATTACATCAACTCCACTATATTTAATACAGTGAATCTAAAAATAGGGACCAACAGAACATGTAACTTCAATTTTTATAGATTGAATTAGATTGAGATTTAAGACCAAAAGCCAACCTCAAAGAGAACAAACAAAATCCCCGCTCGTCTCAACATCATCGTCTATATCAGCATCGGTGTCGATTTCATCGAGATCCATGCTCCCATCAAACAAATGAGCATCCAATTTCGGGCCATCACCCGGTTTTCGGGCCTCTTGTATTATAGAAAGTGCTTCTTCAATACTTTGAGAACAATAATCCTCTGCATTTTTCACTTGCATATAATTATTAGCTTCCTTGTCTACTTGTTCAAATTCGACCTTTCCGCCTTTTAGAAACCAAGGGTGCTTCTTAATTTCTGGGATGGTTATCCTCTGCACAAATGCAAAACAACAAATCAATTTGAAAATAACAAATTACAAGACCAAAAAAGAAAAAAAAAAAATTGATCAAACTTGACCTTTTCCGGATCAGCTACGAATATTCGGGACAAGAGATGCTTGCATTCCTTGGAAACTCTAACATAATCCGGGATCGAATAGTGAACGCTGAGTATTCTCTGCAGAAAAATAAAAAAAAAAATAAAAAAAGAGGAAAAAAATCAATAATTTGTGCATGAACTATGAAATGGACATCTCACAAGCCTTAATCTTACAGCTTTACTTACATTGATTGTTTTCTTGAAATTTCTAGGGTCGTCAGGATCTTCAAATGGGTACGCACCTACTAACATCACGTATAATGTGACCCCACATGACCAAACATCTGCAATCTTCAGGACCACAAATGTGTTAAGATTATTATTGCTTGAAAAAATCATAAAGAAAGTATACTAAAGCAATGAATTATTATTACCTTGCCATCATACTCTTTCCTCGATAAAACCTCCGGCGCAATATAAGCAGGTGTTCCCACAGTTGATTTCGGTTGAGAATGTAATACCGATGACTGTGAAAAAAATTAAAGAAAACAAAAAAAATGTAAAACAAAACATCAAGAATTACATCTAATTTATAAAATGTGTTTAAGTAAAACTACCTTAGAGTAACCAAAGTCGCAAATTTTGAGGCGTGGCGCTGGGCTTCCGTCCAGCAACGTGTTTTCGAGCTTTAGATCTCTGTGGCAAATTTGCTGCATTTTTACCACATAAAAAGAAAGTGCAAATCTAATTAGACAAATTTAGTTTAATCAGCATGATGAAAATATTAAATGAAACCAGAATTTGTCTCAGATTACCATGGAATGACAGTAACTGACTCCGGATATCAGCTGTTGAAAGAAAAACCTTGCCTGAATCGACCACGCAGTTAAAAAAGTAAAAATATTGGAAAGATGTAAATGGGAATAACATGGTAAATAATGGATGTGATGAAGCAAGTGAAAATAAAAAATAAAAAAAAATTACCTCATCTTCAGTAAATCTCCCAGCATTGCATATTCGTGCGAAAAGCTCACCACCTGATGCATATTCCATTACTATGGCTAGATGGGTCGGGGTTAGCAAGACCTGTTAAAGCGGGAAACTACTCGATTGAGATAATTAATTAATGGTAATCTATGACTTATCAGCTATAGAGGTAGAATATTCAAAACTGTAGGATTAGCTTATTGTTTCTTTAATATTAGTTAGGAATCAAGAGAAAAATCAAAACCTGCTCACTCATAATAAAAAATAGAAAAAAATAAAAACAGTTGTACCAAAATAGATTTTTGGTTATTTTTCTTTACGTTCTGTTCATTTCAAACCTAAAAATTATCATCCAAGTTCTTGAAAAGTCAACAAAACAAGCAAGAAAGAATTCCCAAACAGAAAAGGCATCATTTTCCATCATCNTCTATACAAAGAACCCATCCATCAAACAAAGACTTCATTTTGAAGATCTAAAGCAGAATTTGTAAATCCAACTAATCCAAAGAACAATAAGAAAACGGGGAAAAAATCATTTTGTACCTTATTTCCTCTCTCAATGTACTTGACTGCATATAGCTCACCACTTCCTTTATCTCTCACAAGCTTAGCCACACCAAAGTTCCCAGAACCTATATCTTTCAATATCTCATATCTTTCCATTTTTTATCACATCAAACTTACACAGAAAAAGGACTGTCTTTACTAACACAACTCTGTGTAGCAGGCAGCGGGCACTTGCAGCCTGTTTCCCCTTTTCAATGTAATTTACTGGCCAATAAAAGAGGCTAAGCTTAGCTTTATTTCGCAACTATTTGCATGAAAACAGAGTTGAGTTGTTTGTGTGTTTTGTGTGTTCATATCATAGATTAAGTTGTCAATTGCTTGAAAACTTGAAACTCTCTTATGTTAGGTTTGAGGATGCATCATTAATGTATATTTGGCATATATATATACACACACACAAATACTATTGCTTAGTTTTTTTTAACGGTCAAACAGGCATTCCCCATGTCATGCTTTGTAATCCATAATCCTATATGTGTTGGTTTGGAGCAGTATGAGTAAATATAGATTTTTATTCATTAAACTATAAATCTATTTTAAAAGTTAATTACTTTCATATTTGTTATCAGATTTTCATATATAGTATATCAAATCAATCGTCTCATAACGAGCTTCGATTTGATATTCATATTGCATATATAAATAAATATGTATATTTACTTTTATAACACTGAATTATATATCAATATTAATTAAAAATTAATAAATTATTTATCAATTAAATAAATTGGCTATTAAGTTCATTATATAATATGACTTAAAAAAATTTATCAAGTGATAAGTGTCATTTTAAATATACATAATGATTTAAATTTGTAAAAATAATTTAAAATGCAAAATATGAATTTATAAGTTCATTAAATATGAATTATAAGTTCATTAAATATGAGGTATAGCTAAAAAGCATTTATAAGTTCATTAAATATGAACTATAAAATTATTAAAATATAACATCAAAAAATGGTACAAGTGAATAATATCATTTTAAATATAAAACAATAATGTTACTTTCTAAAAAGTATTTGAAATTTAAATAAAAAAATTATTTCTTATAAGTTTTTAAGATTTTTTGTATATTTTTTTTTAACTAGCACCCGTGTAATAACGGTTTTTGTTCTAGTACTTTATTACTTAAATCCTTGGTCATTTTAATTGATCTATGTTGTACATTATACCCAGGTTTGATGCAAACTTCAATAAAGGGTATGCTTGGGAAAAATATGAGGTATAGCTAAAAAGTTACATAGTAAAAATAAATTTGACAAACTTCTGTTTGGACATAGAAATGCGTGACGATACGTGGCATGATTCCAGTGGCTGGAGTGTTGTACCCACAATTGACTTGGTGAAATTTCAAGTATTTTATTCATTAAATTGTAATCTGACTTCCACCATATATTCATTTTTTTAAGGGATTTCAACGTTTGCCATCCTGGAAAGTCGTTTAGAGTCGTTAATTTATTACCACTTCTAAATTTTACGCATAGTACAGAAAATTGAATAGCAATTATTGTATTATTATTGTATGTTTTCTCGTTGACTATCTGACCAATTAAATTCTTGCGGACAAATGAACACTTGGCTAAATTTTTCTTGTTTATTATTCAAATAGGTGTGATTAGAGAGTTCCATCTTATCTACATTTTGTCGCACTCTTACTAGAATACAGAATCTCGAGGTAAGCTTATGTCTAGTTTTATGTTTGCAAAATTTTTTAAGGTAAAGTAATTCATGGGTGCTTGTTTGATGGTTAAGATGAAAAAATCAACTTAATGGAAGGCAATAATTCCATGTTTCCAAGTAGTTAAAATTCCTACATTTCATTAGTTTATTAATTTTGGGGAGTAATGGTAATATGAAGTGTCAATATAACTATAATTTAATTAGCCATATTATCATCATTTGCCCTATGGTACAATAGTATTTTTTTATAAATATAAATTAGGTCATGCAATCCAGATTTTGGATAAGCACCTACGTACTAACTCGTTGGCGTGAATCTGTTTGTTAATCGATTTATGAGTTTCAAGTCGATCACATAGATGTGGATTGAATCTGACATGTTTGATTTAACAATTTACATCTTTGCGATCCGTTTTAAACTCACAAACTCTTTGATGCATAGATACACATCACCATATATACTTAAATACAAGTTTTCTTTTATGGTAGTCGTTTAAACTAGCTAGTTTATAATCTAGTTAGATTTTTTTGTCGAAATACTTTTTTAGGATGATTTGTCAAAGTTGACTTAACATGCAAGCACTAATTCTGTTGTTTTTACAGTAATCTTTTTTTT